TGACTGGAAAGTCTGTGGTTAGAGACCTCTGTGAAGTACTGAAGAGCAATGATGTCAGTCTGGAGCCTAAGGTGTGCCTGATACAGGCCATGGTCTTTGCAATCACTTGCTATACATCAGAGAGCTGGACAATGATTAGGGATGATAGAAGAAGAATTGATGCCTTTGAGTGTGGTGCTGGAGAAGAGTATTGACTGTATCGTGGACTGCTAAGAGAATGAACATGTTTGTCCTGGAGAGGGTGAAGCCAGGCTGCTCCTTAAAGGCAAGGATTCTGAAACTTCATCTGACATACTTTGGCCGTGTTGTAAGGAGGGACCAGTCCTTGGAGAGAAACATCATGCTTGGGAGGGTGGAGGACAGCGCAGGAGAGTAAGACACTCCATGAGGTAGATTGATTCAGTGACTGGGGTAATCAGGATTGGTGTGTCAGAGACAATGTTACTGACACAGGATAGAGCAGAGTTTAAGGCTGCTGTATATTAAGGTCACTATGAGTCGCAAACAACTCAATGGCACATAACAACAACAACATGTGTCCTTAATGGTTTGGTTTTTTGTTTTGTCTTATTTTTTTCTTATTCTGTACCTTTGAATCAGATCCAACTTGCAGAGGAGGAAATTGCCCCTACTTCTCCAGCAGAGCATCTGGTGGATTAAAACTGCATGCCTTCAGGATTGCAGTGCAGCTTCTTTACCACTAGGCCACCAGAAGTCTCTTTTTCCCAAGTAAGCAACTCTGGTGACCTAGTAGTAAGAAACTGGACTGCAATCCCAAAAGAACACAGATCCAAGTAAAGCTAACAAGGCTCAAATTGTATTCCCAGTTGAAAATAGCACAATTTTAGTCACAATCCAGATCTCCCTACAACACTGATGAATGATATGCTAAAGTCAAACTAAAAAAAAGTTTTTAAAAAAGTCAAACAATCTTGTTTGTCAGGGCCTAGCCCAGAAAGGAACTGCACTGGGGGGGGGTGGGGGTGGAAATTATTAGTGAGCATGTCAACATCGAATTTCACTTCAGGAACCCTATTAAATATTACCTTTTTAAGATGTATTTTACTTAACTTTTTAAGTAAACCAGTATAAAATAAATAAATAAATAAATACATTAAAAAAAAAAAAGAATAACAACAAAAGATGTGTTTTATAATGTTGTTGTTATGTACTGCCAGGTGCACTATGACTTAGAATGACCTTATAAACAATCCTGTGACAGCATCACCATCTGCAGCACATTCCAGCTCTTTGTCACAGTCATTGTGTTCATCCATCTCGTTGAAGGTCTTCCTCTCTTACACTGACCCTCCATTTTCCAAGGATGATAACATTCTCCAAGGATCGGCTCAACTTTAAAATATGCCAAGAGTATGTGAGGTAAAGTTTCAACATTCCTGCTACACTAATTCTTTCATAAAGAGTCCTGGTAGTTCAGTGGTTATGCTATGCTACCTATTTATAGTTGAACATAGGGTTTCTGTGAGTCACAAACTACTTGATGGCATATAACAACAACATGGGTATAATGTAACTGGATCTTTTAATTCTCAGGAAAAAGTGAACAAAACCAAACCATAAGATAATGGCAAACAGTAATTAAGGAACAATGGCTATGACAAATGTGCAATTTGTTCAAAGTCTAGTAATAAAATTAATTTGTTCCTTTCTTGCCCAAGAGACACTTAAAGTAATTGCATCTTGGAAAACTGCACTGTCATCACTTTACGCTTTTGATGATGTCATGGAATACTAAGTACTATCATAGGCTGGGACACGCTCGGCAGTTTTTCCTGTCCAACCTTTGCTATTATATTATCCTGTTAGCGACTAGTTACAGCCACGCATTTGCAATATTTTGTAGTATGTTAAGGATAAAAAGAGACTTCTCTAAATCCCGTTCCTCTAAATAAAATGCATGTCTTAAATTCATGCCCAATAAAGTGGAGAAGTTTGGAGGTACAAAGGAAGTCATAGAATGACTTTTTTTAAAAAAGTAATCTAAGGTCATTAATGTCCACACTAAAAAGAAAATGGGAAAATAAGAAAATATGCTGAAAACACTTCAAATATTTTAAAATTTCATCTGTTCTTCAAATATTTTTTTCCAATTTGGAAATTTGATTTTTTTAAACTTGACTTTTTAAAGACTAATTTTTGTATTTACCTATATGCTATAATAAATCCCACAGCTTCTTTCCTAAGGAAAATATCATAGCCTATAGTCACTTAAATTAAAATAATTCAGCCCTCGTAATTATCTGTACAAGGTGTACATGAACAAATTCGTTTAGGATTCTAGAAGTTATTCCCAACTTAAAATAAGAAATCCATTAAAAATTTTGTAATTATTACCATCTGCTTATCTAAGTTTCTTGTACATACATGCATCAGAAACAATTATGACCACTAAGATTTTACTACTAAACATTATTAAAACTTTTGGTGCACATATACTTTGAGGTGTTTTATCTTAGTAAAATATGTTCACCTTACTTACAAATACAGCTCTTGAATTTATATAAAAAGGGAGATTTATGTAAATATATTTTTTGTATTTCATTGAGTATTTTGAAGTACTAAAATGAAGGGCTATTCATAAACAATTGTTCTATGATTGTCTTCCTCCCCCTGGCATTAGCAATTATTTTTTTGTCCTATTTCTTCTCAGAAAATTATTGTGTTGACCTGTAGTAAGTAGCAAATATGCTTCATATGTTATAGTTCAACTACAAATAATGACTCCAAAAAGACTGTGTTCCAGTTCTTCAGATCCATGAGGAGGTATTATGTCAATGTTCTTTGTTAACCTGAAATAGTTGATGCATCATTCAGAACTTGACATAGACCAGATAAATTTAAGACTTGTTAGGAACAAACTTGCAATCATTACTTTACTGTTAGGAGCTACTATTTCTCAAATATGAGATTTTAAGCTAGTCTATACTCATGTCAAGTCAGCTGAAATGCATCTTAAAAATTAGTCTCCAAAAGATGAAAATTGGAAATCAATTTATAGATGGTTAAATTTCAGTATAAATTTGTATGGACGAAGACAATTAAATTATTCATGAGAAAAGCATAACAGTAATTCTTTTAATAGCAAATAAACATCATAATTTAGGTTAAATCAAATAGATCATGTTCAGTTAATTAGAAATTCTCCAGATGTCACCTACAAGATACCCATAAATATATAAACCAAAAACATTGCAAAGAGTTTAGAAGAATTTCTATTATGATACAAACTTTTCATCAACAAGTGTAAATTCCTACATTTACTTTAGATATTCTTGTCCTTCCTCAAAAAATTTAAGGCATGTAAGAATACACTAAGATCATACGAACTAAGCCAATAAAGGGGTTATTTATTGCTTAAGAAAATATCTGATATTCAGATCATGGTTTCTACAAGCAGTTTCTATGAGTAGAAATGAGTATTCTATGAGTAGAGCCCCTCATATGTATGCATATTTCTGATAAACATGAAGGCTATCATACATGTTGTACTGTCCACATTGGGGTAGATTTGTAGAGGGAACTTATTCTGCATACCTAAATTAGGGTGGAATTAAGAATCTAGTATCATGGTTTCTATAACATCCTACTCAGCACTGAAAAATTTCCATTTTATAAAACTAACAAGTCTAAGTTCTTCTTAAACATATAAGCAACATGCATTTCAAAATGACATTTCATCATGTGTGTAATTCTAATATTTCCAAAGCACCATAACCAAAAGTTGTTGAAGCATATTTAGTAAGCAGGCATTTAAAAACTGTACTCTGAAGACATAGAACATCACAAGTTGCCACAGGGAAAGTCATTAACAATTAAGCTTGCTGTGCCAGATTCTAAAGGTCTGATTTCCCAGTTGATTAAATTGATGGTGTTTGTCATCTACCTGTTCTGGTGACACCTGTTTTACAATTTTATAAAATGTGAAATGGCATTGATGATTTTTACATTAAAAAACAAACAACCTTCAAGCCTCCAAACACATGCCAGTATATTGGCAATAAATATTTATGGAGACACCTACATGAGCAAGTAAGGGTAACTGTGTCCAGTCTTTAAGTACGGCCCTTTTAGTTAATTCTAGGTTACTGAAAACTTACATTTTTAGGGACCTTCCCAAAAATGTGAGCGAGGGTGAAAAATGGAATAAATTGATCAATAATAGGATTGTGGAAGTTGAAGAAAATGAAAATTAAAAAAAAAATTCTAAGAACTCTGGGATGCTTGCTAATTCTGACCCAATCCCTTGAACTGACTTGTCAGTGAACAAGTCTGCAGTCATTAAAATGCCCTCATCAGCCCAGCTGTGGCCAACTTCATTTGTTGGTATAACCTCCAACTTGGAATGGAGCGCAAAGTAAAGGCTTATGCACAATTGTCAGTCCCAAGCTCTTTGTCAGCCCTCCTGAGAACAAAGACTTCGTGTGCCCACAGGGCTGTGAATGACCCCACCCATCCCACTCTACCCAGTGGATAGCTCTGGTCTAAAAAACCGTCTGATTAAGCATAATGCAGAGACTGAAGCCCAGCCAGGCCAACAGGGGGTGTCATCTCTCCATTGGCTTTTCCTTCTCTGGCTTTCCTCTACCTCCCTCTTATCCCATCCCTTTTGCAGGTGTCTAGCTCTGTCTAATGGCCAACTTTCTTACAAAGAAAGTGGAAATGATTCCTGAAAGCCACTGTAAGATGCTCATGATGCAAGACTCTTGCTGCACCTCTTAAACCGGGCGTTTCAAAAACATTTAAACTTAGTTGTGTGAGAGAGAAAAGGTTTCAGATGCGGGAGAAGGGGAGCACACTTAGAAATAGATAAAGCACATTTCTCTCTTCCAACCTCCTCCTGCTACCGACCCCAGTAAATTTCCATGTCTTAGGATACCCACCTACCTGGGGTAGGTTGCCCCTGCACTGACCCTCACCCACCAGCTGCACAGGGTTCCCTCCCTGAACTTGTTCGCTCCTCAGAAGGGCCCTGCACTCACCGCTGACCACCCGGCGACAGAAGGAGCCTTGCCCGCAGAGCAGAGTGGCGCCCAGCAACAGAGAGACCAGGCGGCTCAGGCTCATCATGGCGAGGCAGCTGCAGCAGGTGTTAGATGGAGCTGAGGCGACCACTGCCCACAGCCGAGCGCGGCGCAGTCCGCAGTTCTAACCCTGCAGCTTCCCGACCTCCTCCTTCCTCTCAGGGTTCTACACTCGCAGCCCTAGCCTAGCCGCCCCGTCACCTGCGCACATTGCCTCCAGGAGCTTTGGCGCCGCGCGAGGGCGTGTAAGGCGGCAGGCAGCGTAGTCAGGACCAATGAGCTTTTCAGGAAGAAGGGAAAGGAAAAAGTTGAGGAACCCTATAACCGTCCCCGAGGCTAAGAGAGAGCCTAAAGCCAGCCCTCGCAAATCCTTTTGGCCCCTCTTCAAGCTTCTGACAAGTGCACACTATCTAGTCTCTTGCAGCAGCAATAGCTAGCTCTACGCTGGAAGCGCCGCCTTATATATATATCCACACCCCAAGGATCCTGCCTCTCGCTAGTAATATTTTAACTGCTTCGTTTCTCGTGCCAGAAGAAGCATCCCAGGCCCTCCCCTATAAACTGGAGCCACTTTGAAAACAGTCCAGTCAGCAGCCCCACCCCCTCCACTCCGCTACTCCTTCCCCTCTTTCCATTTGCTAACAGACTCATTTGTGTTATATGTGACAGCTTTGCTATTAAACTCTGGCAAAAGTTGGATCCATTTGGTTTTCTCAAAGATTAATATCCACGGGGATGCCAGGTTCTGGGGCCTTTCTCTTTTTGTGCTAAATTGCTTGATCATATGTATTGCTAGATACAGGGCATTAGCCACTATTTAAGATGGATTGGTGAAATGGGAGCCAAAACCTGCTTGGTGAATTATACAATGTGGCAGATTTTTCCCCCACCTCGGTTTTGCAAATAGATTACTTCCAAGCAGGTTGTTTGACTAAATTGCCACAGGCGCAAATGGAAGGGTGTTTGAGGCACCATTCTCCCAACTGATTTCCAGTCTGAGTATTTGCAGGTCCATCCATAGAAAACCTTCAATATGGACTAAAAAAATTCTATTGATTTGGGAATGTATTGGATTAAAAATTGAATGAGTTTATTTGTGATCACTCATCTGTGATACCTGATACACTTTAGAAGACTAATTTTTCTAAAACCTGTCTGGTTATCATCACAACAATCGTCCCAAGGCAGATATTTAGTGTATTAGAAGTTCATGAGAGTTTTATCTATCCCATGGTGTGATTTCTGAAAATAATCTCCTAACATATTTCACTGGATTTTTTTTTCTACTATATTGCTTTAAATGTACCAAGATTTGATTTAGAAAATGAAAAAAATGGTATATTATCACAGTCCAGTATAAGAGGTGCATTGAAAATTTTATTATATATATAATATATAGCATCAAGGACTCTTCTTCATAGGGTTGCTATGAGTCGCCTGCGACTCGATGGCACTTAACAACAATATTA